ATTACATAAGTTTTAATGTAGCATAGGCACAGTTGCGCGCCGAAGGTCTGTGTTAGTGCCTCTTGCTTCATTGCTGTTTCTCTGTTTGGCTGCCTCTTGTCCGTTGCCGGTTTCTCCCGAGATTTCCACAGTTACATCCGCCAAAACCAGAAGGGTTATCCACTGAGACTGGTCGACCCGTCCTCAATAGCCGGCTGTTTTAAACGCTTGGTCCTTTCTCCGGGAGATGAAGAACCCACACATCGTTCCAAATGGAGCTCTTTCCGCTATTCTGGAGATGCTAACTTCACAGGATCTAAACAAAGGAGTTTGGCTCACCTCGTACTCACATTAGAACAATTTACTCACCTGGAATAATATGTTTACGTGGATCCTCTGTTCCACAACGGAAAACAAATTATTCTGGAATGATTACCTTCATTGTCCCAAACAGTCCGATTCTCCAGTCACCTGGAGCTTTTCCGATGTCATTTAGCGGACAGCGTTGCGCTCGGATAAGTGGCTTTTCCGATGGCCTTTCATAGAATTTTCACTTGGCCATGGAGACAATTACACTTACTTACATTTGAAGGAATCCCGAAGCCACTTTGCGGAGAATGGCATTTTCGCCTTTTATGGACATATTCAGCCACAAGAAACAACTGCACTGACCGTCCCCATTACGTGTCCAGCGTGGATAACTGGACAGGGTTTGCGAGCCAGACAAGAATATAATAGAAAAAGCCGGCCTCTATTAACAATGTGTTTACTCAGCTGCATCATTTATCATTCGACTCTGCGACTCTTTCGCATCATTGACCGGCTTCAACGACTAATGCCGTAAAAGTACTAAAACATTCGGCCAACCAACTAAGAATTTTGGCTGTCAACCGACTGCGAATAATAGAGTGCAGAACTGGTCTATACGATTCATAGCCGACTAGCACTACTGTTCAACAGAAACTACGGCAGTGTTCCAGGACGTGGTGGGATTTCGCCTGGCAAGCGTTCTCCCTCTAAACAGCTTCAAATGTCCGCTTAAAACACTGCAGCGTGGCTGATGTGACTCGCCACAAAATAAAGTCACAGCTAAACCTTTCTAACTGACCCAGTCCTCATCCTTGTACATCCAACCTGTGCAACTGCTTTTACTATGAAGAATGCTTTGATGGAGCACAGATCTTCCCGACTTCGTAATGTTTATTGATTGCACCAAAACCTTGTTTGGGCTCCTGTGCGCATGGATCACGACATGGCGAAAGTACCCTCAACTTGTATCTGGACGCAACAGTTATGACTGTTTGTTGCACGCCACAGCGCCATCTGGTTCCTCTGTCTGATTATTACATGACAGCATGTTCACTCATATGGACTACATCTTTTCGCTATGCCTTTCGTTAAAACGAAATGTGTTAACATTCCAAAGAAGCTATGCTTTTATGCATGTTTGCTCATGCCTTTACAGGTGTGCCTCGTTTTAATGAGAACATATCACTTAGTTATTTATTTATTTATTTCCTCATAAAGTAGTCCAGTACCAAAGCTTTTGCAAGGCTCGTTGAATAGCTTTGGGACACTAGGAACCTCGACGATATTCCACACATTCACGTCCACAGCAACTAGCAGTCATGGTACCTCGATCTACACAACTATGTAATTAAAATATATAAAGAACAGCGGCGCTTCCAGGACCGAGCCCAGCGGCAACCCACTGAGGACGGATTGTCTAAATGATGGGCCGCTAGCTACCGGTACACACTGTCTTCTACCATCCAAGCAGGCACCCAACCGATGAACTTAGCGACCTGCTATACCGTACAAAGTCAGCTTTTGTGTAAAGCTAAATAAGGTACCTTGTCAAATGCCTTCGAAAAGTCCACGGAAAAGTTTCCTGTGAGTGGACGTTGTCTAATGCATCCGCCCAAGTATCGCGAGCTATCGATAACTCCGTCGGACAAGAAACTCTCTTCCGGGCTTTACATAGTGCATGGCTTAGTAGGTTAAACCTACTTGGATGACTACCCAATGAAGAGCTTAGCAGTGTCTCGCGGAATTTGACTATTACACTCGTCAGACTAATTGATCTGTTATTTGCAGACGGGCTTCTGTCCCCAATTTCGAAGATGAAACAGATGACAGATCCCTTCAATTCTGAGGGTAAAACACAGCTATCAAGCGATTCCTGAAACCCAATAAAGCAAGCCGTCCACTTACTTCCCCAACCCAGTCAGGGAACAGTTTCGGGTGAATTACATCAGCCTCAGGCGCCTTAGAAGGGTACAACTACCATAAATTCAGATGTCCCCGAACCACATGGGACCCTGCAAACCAGCTCAACGCCTGTCAAAGAAGTTTCCCTTAAAAACGCAGCTGCATATCGCCCACTACGTACACAGGTCTTGTCATAGTCCATATGAGCGCGAGTACTATCGTCAAACATCAGAATTGGCATTGCCTTGTTCGAACAGCAACGCCAGTTGAACTAGTAGCGGAAACTTTTTGGAGTTGCTGAACTTTAGTGAGTAAACTCCTACTTCAAATTGAGTCGAGCGTACCTTAGGTTTTGCTTACACCTATTTCTAGCCTCACGGTACTTGTCAAAAGTATCGGTGGATAAAGCGCCTCGGTAAGTCCGTCAAAGTTTGGAACAATATATGAGCGGATGTCTGCCAGTGGAATCTATCTAGGGCGGCTGTGCTATTGTCACCTTCCTTTCTTTGTTAGGGATAAAGCGAGCGGAGAACAGCGATAGGTTGGACATAAATTTGGCCTAGGCAACTTGGACAGTATCGGCGCTTGCGATCGTACACCGAAGTTCCAAACCATTTTTTCTCATTGGTTGATAGTCTGCTTGTCGTATGTTCGGGGGAGAAGCAACAGTATTCTGGTGGCCTCTGGACAAAATACGACTGAAGATCAAAAACATGATAACCGGGACCCAGTAGTCCGTAACAAATGTCACCAACAAAATCGAGCGAAGTAGCAAACACAAGGCCAAGGCTAAACGGTACTTGGGCGTCCATGTACCTATTGGAAAGCTTAACAAACTGATGTAATGGTAACTGGAACGTAAGCTCAAGTTGATGTGCGCCGTATGAACCTGACGCTGTGTTGTTAGAAATATCTACCCAGCAGATGTACAGGGGAAAGCACTCGCCAAGCACGACTCACCCATTTGCGGGCTTGGAGCGAATGAAGTCAACTACCTCTTTGGAAACGCTCACAGGGCTACTAAGCGCTCCTAAACCTGTAACCTGAGCCGAGGATATGACCATCGCAGCCGACAGAACTTCAACAGCTTTGTCTGCCGACTGAAATAATGAAGTATTTTGAAGGTCCAGTTTACGGCTCAGATAAATAGCGACGTCTCCTCTCTGTCAGCTAACGGATCGATCGAAACTAACGAAAGCGTAGGCTGATAGGTGTACTTCCCCATCCGTGGTATCCTGAGGCAGCTACGTAGTAGTGAAAAGGAGACTGTCTGGGTGATACGCATCTACAAGCAAATCTAAGGCTTACGTCTTATTATTTAGGCTGCGCAAGAATCAAATAGGTAGCTAATAAAAGGCTTTCGAAAAGTCGACACAAAGCTCGTCCATTGAGTGGCCGTTACCCATTGCAACCGACCAACTTGCGCGAAGTACCAATAGATTCCTCGGACACAAACATGCCTTCCGGAATCCGTTTGCGCACAAGATCTGACAAGGATTCTTTCGCTAGTAGGTAATCTATATTTCGCTGTACTGAGAGTTCAGTGACCTCTCATAAAAGTACTGAAGTCCGCAGTAAATATGGTGGCTCTTACACAGTATGCACCTACTTAACTAAAAGTTGCTTACAGACACCTGGGGGTATATGGAGGTTCGGGGTGATTGCTAATAATTTACTGCACAAAATCGACTATCCCTTCGTGCTTAAGCGGAAATCCGAGATAAACCTATTTAACATTATTGTACGTCTGTCAGTGGTTGTAGAATGCGCAGTAAAACGTTGACTGATGGCTAAATTTGACTAAAAGGCCGGTGAGAGATACAAGTAACCTAATTTCGTGAAGGTCAGCTTTCATCCCTATTCCCATTTTTGTATTATTTTCGTACTCAGCTTAGTTCGAATTTTTACGTTATAAGCTAGAGAGTGCGGTTGACTATTCCGAGGGCTTCCGCGTGGGTCGCGTTAGACCTAGGGGGATGAAAGGCAAAAGAGGTTTTCCGTAGGTGGCTGGACAGTTATATCACAAGTACCTAGTAAGAGTCGGAGCTTGCTGGAGGGTGTGCTTGTGTGACACGTCGTGGTGACCTGGGCGACCTTGTCTCCACAGCTCATGGTGAATGCATAGATGGTGTGAACGAGAGCGATAGTTATTTTAACGACACTAAGAACAAAATGGAAGGTCAGAAAGATGTGGAAGCGACAAACGCAATGACGACAGCTTGCCTGCTGGCTTGATAAAGTAACACGGACGCTCTACAGCTGCTACAAATGATCTCCGCGATCGTTACTCTTCCAACAAACTTCAGATGTCATACAAACGTGACCTAAACGTACAGACTAATATGTTTCACGATATACTTAAACACCTGGTCGCATTGGTGTTTACTCTCCGTTTCTACGGCCTTGTTTCTATCTGTTAACAAATAAACTATAACATTTGAAATAGTTGGGTAAACGGTCGCTTGGTGGACAGTGCACTCACAAATTAACGCGAGCGGACTTTCGTCCAGGTTTAGGCCCAAAAGCTAAGCACATTAACAAAACTTAACTATAATCAGTAAAACTATTAATACAAAGTGCTTCTATACAATAAATATACCAAAAATGAAACAACAATGATTAACCAAAACTGCACACTTGCATATTGCAACGTGGACAAAAATTTCATGATAAAGTTTCCGTCGAATAATTAAGAAATACCTAGACGTAGTTACTTTGAACTTATAATACAAAACAAGCATCTTGGTTTTTTCCCTTTTACAGGACGTATTCGATAAACGGTTGTACCTGTTGGCCAAATCACAGGCGAAGCTAGCCACACCACCCATTTAGGCTACAGCAAATATGTGAGTACCTCAGTCCCGGTCTTGCTTTGGCGATGGAACCGGATAACAGTTTGACGGCGATTGATTGGTTGCCTAACCTCAGCATTAACATGCTTGCAGCTTCCATAGAGAGTGATTTCAACTTCAACTTGGATATGTACGGCACCTCAGTCAGCCCGGATGATAACAAAACCGATTCTGAGTGTGGTTCCGCTTCTTATCTTCCCGAAAATAAACCACCCTACAGTTATGCAAGCCTAATTACGTCTGCTATCTTAAGCTCATCTGACAAGAAGATGACGCTTAGTGAAATTTATCAGTGGATCTGTGATAACTTTCCGTATTATTGCGAAGCAGCGGGCGGTTGGAAAGTAAACCATTTTTTACTTACTTGCAGAATTCTATACGTCATAATCTTTCTTTGAACAAGTCTTTCACGAAAATGCCTAGGTCCCGTGATGATCCAGGAAAAGGATCGTACTGGTCCCTTTCAAGCAAATTTGCCCGGGAATGCGAGATGGCTGCATCTGCTGCAAAAAAGCAGGTATGTTGCGCACAGTTCACCACTGGACGCGTTTTCTGCGGTTGATAACCACGTTTAATTACCATGCAGCTGATTATCACATGTTACTTATAAACACCGATTTTTCCATAAGATGGCTTTCATACTCGGTCAGGTTCCAAGGATGAAATAGGCTCCCACCTAACGAGCGTCCTGTTTCTTGCGTCGGCAAGCAAACCAGGGCTTCTAGTACTTCGGTATTTGGGTTGCTTTCCTTTCAGCAAAAGAAATAAGCAAGCAAAAACAACCGGTGTACTTTCTTGTATCATAGACTGTGAGGGCTGAAATTATCAATAAACTTGGAATCATCCCGGGCATAGATCCAATCAACGCTCAACCAAGCTTTTTTGAAAGCTTCTTCAGTGCTACTTTCGTTCAAACGAGTAACATGCTTGTTCCAATATGAACTACACTATTTCCATCCTGGACTGCAGATGCTTAGCTTGAGTCCATGTCCCCGTAGGTGAACGGAGGCAGCTTGATCAAACAGGTCGGAAGGCCTGATAACACCTAGGCCCGTCATTATTTTAAATTTTATCAGGTCGCCTCACTATCTGCGTCATTTCATGGAAAACAACCCAAAGCCCCTAAGGCGTTCATCATGTCTTCCCACGCTGTCTTTCAACCATTTTAGTCGCCAATTTTTGGACCTTTCCTATGCCAACAACGTCCTTCTGGAGATACAGTGCGCTAGCCTGTACACAGTATCCTACGTGAGGCCCCACCACTGATTTATATAAGGGTGAAATTCTCAGGTTTAGCGTTTCTTAACGCTCTCTTGAGACAGAATAGCTCTTACGCGCCTTGTTGGCTGTGTGCTGACACTGCGCTGATGGTTTAAAGTCCTTTGTCACAATGTTAATCATGCCAAAATCATGTGCTTCATCAGCGGAACGTAACTCCAAGGTACTGCCAGTAGTTAGTACTCTAACCCGTTCGATACTGGAGCATAACAGTTGACACCATTCGTATTAATGGGCAAGTCTCACAAGGACGCCCACGCCCTCCACAGTACAAAGGTTTTTTGATAGCGCTCTACTAATGCCTTTGTATGCGAATTTTACATCGTTCGCGAAAATATAGCAAGTGTTCAAGCTGAGGAGCTAAGTCATTATTCATAAAGAACAATATTGAGCCTGGAACAGAACCCTTGGGAACACCACTGTGGGCGGTGCTTGGGCTGGAGTCACCAACTCTAACGGAAGGTTCCGTGTAGCATTTAGTGCCTGGCTGTTCCTCCCAGGCTTGCTAACTAGTACACACCATCGGTTGTCTTGTATGTTCATCCTTTTTGGGTGGCATAATTTACTGTACTTACTCTCCCATACCTGCCCCTATTGCTCCGTGTTTTGATACCTGAGCATAGTTGTTTTTTCTGGTAGCTACAATGAACTCCAAATGCTTGGATTGTGGTAAGGGGGTCACTTCGATTGAAGACTGTCCAATGTTCCTTATGCGAAGGGTGGCTACACATTGTATGTAACCTCAGTGCAGATCACTTCTTCAGTCGTCCATTTTATTTGACCCCTATCGGGCTTGTTTGAATGTCAAATGCGTTTAGAATGCACCACCTTCAATCAGTCCATCTCCCTCATGCCTGCATACTTTGGCGTAAACATAAAATGAGGCTCCGTCGCTCTCCATTTTGATTTCTCTCCCTCTGACCTGGATACTCATCCGGGAAAACACAATCCTGTTTCTTCAGTTTCATTTCCGGAACCAATGTCCATTGGTCGACAATACAGCGAACGCAAGGACATGACTTATGCAGTTGTAACGGACAGCAGATAACTCCGGTATCAGTGAACACAAATACTCCGTTAATCAATGGGAAGACGGAGATGGCTGCAAAACGTAACTCTAATTCAAACATTTTTCAGTCGCAGGTGAAACTTGTTCTCGACAAAGTTTATCAGTTGGAGAACATAAGTAAGGCAAATTCTTGCCCTTACATACCGTGCCACATCGAGGGAACGATGTCTGACCATCTTAAACTTCCCTAAGTCTTATAAGGAGTCCTCGGCCAAGAGGGTATTGGAGGAGCAAGCCTTTCTCAAACGGATGGTTTCCCTACTGTTCGATACTGGGGAACACGGCATAAACTTCGTTCTTACCTTTCGTCTGCAAGAATCAGGATGACTCCTCGAAAATTCGTCCTCCATAGGTGGTCTGTCAAGATGAAGAGGGATGCCGCCGTGTCATTAAACGGATCTGATTTCTTAAAGGGGAATCATTCTGTGTTATGAGAGATCTCTCCCCAGGAGATCGAATTAAGATGAAGCAGTTTGTTGTTAAATTACGGACCCGCCGGGCAGATGTTGAAATCAATTTTTACATTATGGATTTTCTGGTAGTGCAAAGGATCCTGGGGACTAGGTGGTGGCCACCTTGTGTGCTGAGAATCTGGAATGAATTGTGTGTATGTTATTTGCTAACGTACGTAGTTTGAAAAATAAGTTGAATGCTATTCTACTACTGACTTCGAAGCAGCAATCTGACTTGATGGTGGAAGATAGACTTTGAGGTTCAAACATTGCAAGCTATATACGATCTCGACGGAGAATCGAAAATTCTTTGGCGTAAGGTTCACGGTGATTATAGGCCGCTTATGGTCGGCGTTATCAACAGATCCCCTTTGGAGTCAGGATCCCATCTTCTTGACTCCATGAGGATACACAGTAAAGGCTACCTAGTAGTGCGTGACTTCAATGCTCTGGCTGCAAATTCGGTCGTGCTTCATTGCAGCTCCTATCCAGATTCTTTTGCTGCGATATTATATGAGACATTCCTACAATGTAACCTAACTCAACACGTTTTATCATCTACCAGGTTTTTTCATGCCAAATGCCGCAAATCCTTTACCTTTTGCTCACATTTGCACCGTCAGATATCTCAGCTTTAGCTGTCCTTCATTCTCTCGGAAATTGTGATCACTGTGTAGTCTCATTTTCGTGAGCTCGACAGTTAGCTATTAATGTCCAGGGAGTACATCGACGGAATTTCTAGCAAGCTTATCCACTTCGCTTAACATTGGCTGAAAGCGTCATGCACTGGAACATCCCTCGTCATTTGGATCTCCGTGCTGCTTGGGACCTTTTGTGCTCAAAAATGATGTTTATCATTGATCTTTTTGTCCCAAGTGTCCGACGATCTTTCTCCAAGCGGTCTCCTTGGATCGATCAGGAAATCAGATCGCTCATCTTGAGAAGGCGAAAGCTTTGTAATCGCTTCAAGTTTGCCCAAGCAGCTCAAACTTACGAGGTACTCTGAGAAGACGCGAGAGACGAGAATTGTATTTGCATCATCTGATCGATCAATCCGCGATTGAATCTTATACCCTTTTCGCCTGCCCAAAAAGAAGTACCAAAGCTGACAACCGTATACTTGCTCTGTATCCAAGGAAAGATGACATTGTGCTTCGTGATGATATGGCTAAAGCTTGTCTTCTAACCTTACACTATTCCAGTTTGTGTACGACGGATGGCGTCACTGACAGGTAAAGTTTTCCATAGCCACCCCATTTTTAGAGCTCATCGAAGTTAACACTGACACAGTACTGGAACTACTCGATTTGGATCCGGATTATTCGCCATGTCCTGATAGGTTACATCCCTTGTTCCTGAAGGAGGTGGCTACACATATTTGTCAGTTATTTCGCTGGCCCGTAGTCTTAAGGATTACAAACCTACCTTGTAATCCGAAAGCTGGTGTTCGAGCCCGCGTAGGGACTAGGTAATCCTCGAAGTATCCATAGCCCAGTTGCAACTGGTGGTGGTTGCTCAACTTCATTATCCTCAATATACATCAGCCGAGAGTGAGACACATACCTCAACTTATGTGCCATAATACAAAAAAGATAACATGATCACAACAAGACTGTAATCATCGCGACGAGACTAGACCTTAACGTGCTGCGATGATTTGCATGCCTCAGTGATCTATTGAACTATGCTGGGTGGTGTTTTATGCACCCATTCATACCAGATTGTTCAATATTTAGAGGCCAGACAAAATCAGTCCCCTGGCCCTCCAGGTTCGGGGTTGGAGTGAGAATGGCTCCTTACTTCATATGACGGACTCAATGTAGCTCAGTGTCAAATCCCCGCTGCCTTACAGTCAGGTTTTGAGACCAAGAGCTTTCGATGAGAACCCTAATCATTTCCCTGTCTAGGCTTGCGCATCCTGACGATATTCTGACCGTCCATCGCCTTGATGTTATTTTGTCGATTTTTGGCAAATCTTTTGCCACAAATCTTTTCCACACAAAATCCTCTTTATAAAGCTCCGGCAGATTGGCGTCCTTCGCAACTTTTTCGTTTGGATTGTTGATTTCCTGGATGAGCGTAGTATGAAGGTGAAGGTTAAGGAGGTCACATATGGTCCGGTTCTCTTGACCAGGGGTGTCCCACAGAGCTCCGTTCTTGGTCTCGAACTTCATCAACCATATCCAACCGATGCTTCAATTAGACTGCTTGATCTACGCGGATGATCACAAATTGTATTCGGAACTATCCAGGTACCTCAAAGTTGCAAATGACACTCGAGCTGTTGCACGATTGGTCTGTCAATTGGCAAATGCCTATCAATCGTGATAAAAGCTGTGTTCTGATCGGTGCTCCGGAACCTTTCGGTGCCTTCCTCATTGCCGGTTTTCTGCTGAACAATGCGGCTGTCGAAAAGGATCTCGGTGTAATTTTAACCCCAAACCTAAGGACAATCCAGGACACGTTGCTCATGGTAGCCTGTGCCAACAAACTGCTTGACACCATACGATTGTCATTCTCCAAAATGACACTTGGTAAATTCAGGCTCCTACTTTCTTCCCACACGCATCCAATACTGCTATATATGTAACCTGCCATACACCCACTCACGAAGTTTGAATGTGATTTAAAAAGGTTCGGAGGCGCGCATCCAAGTCTATGTCCGTGTGACGTGTTTTATCTTATCCCCTTCCTCTTCGGTGTATGAACTTATTTTCT